CGACGTAAGTCGAATTTACCTGTCTCCGAATCTACTTATCACTAGGAAAGCATTTTAAATAATATATGGTTAATAAAAATCTATTTTAAGCTTACAAACAAATAAATTTTAGTTTTTAATATAGTACAAAAAAAGTAATCTAAATTTACGAATGCGTGTACTGTAAATACAGTACATACTTGTATATATTTTAATATGATTTTATGTGCTTTAAACGTTTATCTAGTGATATTACGACTTCAATATTTGTGGCGGACAGACGTAAAGTCGAATAAAATGACTTAAACTTGATTTTTATTTTTCTATATACTTTTTTAACAAGCGACGTATAATCGGGAACGACGTAACTCGAAACTGACGTAAGTCGAGGTATGCCTGTATATGCGTTTCTTTTTGTAGGGGGTTAAAAAGAAAATTTTTTGAATAATGGATATTTTCCTAGAAGTGGGAAATCTGTTGTTTGCAATATAATGGATTTTTGGAACAATGATTTTCAGCACTCCCAAGCAATCCATTAAAATGAGATTCTACTGTATATGCGGGTTGCCCAAAAAAATTGTTCTAGAAATGTCTATTAAATATGTGTCTGTTTAAATTAAAATGCATCATAATGGGAAAATCCCATATAAACATGGGTTCTATTGTCAGTATTTAAACAATTGTGATTGTGTCCTGTACACAACCCTCCCAATTTTTTTTGACCTGCATGACATTTGGTTAATTCATTGCACTCAGTTGATGCTGTGGGGGGAGGCAAAGAACTGTCAGTTGGCTTAACCTGTCCTCCGTTGTTCCTGAAAATATTCATGTTGATCTCATTGATCTGCATGAGTGATCCCGAATATTTTCATGTTTACATTGGAACATTTTTTATGCTAAATGTCGCTATGCGTCACAATTTTTATGTTAAAACAAACTTTTAAAATTTAATTTTTTTTGTTTCTATATTATTCAATATATTTATTTTGTTTGTGCAACATAAAAAAATAATTTTTAATGATACAGTAAGCACGATTATTATTTTAAAAAAAATTAGGCTTAACATCGACGAAAATTCAACGTGGCGTCACAGGCAACAAATAAAAATTTCAACATCGAATAGGTTAATGATATTGTGCACAGAACATTTTGGGATGCATGGCAGACCTCGTGCAATTTATGTATTTTTATTTGTTGTCATCTTTGCTACTGGCCACATACAGTATATGTAGATAATAATCCTGCCAATTTTGACATATTGATGAGCTGTGATGATTTCTCTCTAACTGCAAATTTTCATCTTCAGATGGCCTGCAGAATTTTGAAAGTATACCAAAACATCACCATAGAGTTAAGATTGGGTTTTCAAAATCGCCATTAATAACCACCTGCTTTCCCACTGAAATTCCACTGCTTCCACCATAAGTTTCAGGAAAGGATGAGAAGAAATGTAACGATTCAAATATACGAGTGCTAAGATTGCTTTTCTTTTAACTTAGTGCTCGTATATTTGAACATAAGACTAGACAAGAAGCATATCGCATAATTCAAATGTAATGATCTTGAATGGGTCTGTGCTGTACCAAAAATGCATGCTATAAGCGATTTCTTCCTCTCATGGAGTGTGTGATGTTTTTCTGTTTAAATTATTTTGAATTTGTTGCCTCTTCACTTTAAGAAAATTTAATTTTTAACATATGAATTTTTTTATTATTTAAAAAATGTACAAATTAAATTAAATCATGAAGTTTTTTATATGACATAGCTAATTATGTAATTGATTTTATGCAAAGTTTTTCATTTTTTGACAGTGACTAAAGTGATATTTTAATTAAAAAAATTTATATAATTGTGTACAAAATGGGCTGAAATAGACTTGGCCGAATAATTACATAATGGAAAGTGGAAATGCAGAGGCATTAATAAGGAATAATGTTATAATCGGTCAGGAAAAATTGGGGAATCACAGATGGAATTACCCGTATGGATCCTGTAATAATTTCATGTAAAGTACTTTATTTATATTACATCCAAAATTTAGGATTTTTATTTAGTTATTAATGAAATTTTCTACACATCATTTATGTATATTGTGATATTATTATAAAATATTTTCTATCATTTAGTTTTTTGTCTATTTTGAAAAGACTTCATGGCACTTTTCATTTTTAACTTCTAAATATTAAAAAAGAAAAACTTACATGTACACATAATCCAACTTCACTAACTTTATCTAAAATTTGCATTATCAAATTTTTTAATTCACAGCCATTTGTACTACCAGTAATATGAATGGCTGCAATCTGTTTCTAATTTATATTATTTCCACGTAAAAGAACAGCTGTCAAATGATTTTCAATATGGGTATTTCATAAAATAAAGGTACCAATAAAAGTGTTGTTTTGTCATAATCTAGATTTTCTCATATTTCCATTTCATCTATACTCAACGCTCAATCTCTTCAAAAGGCAGTCATGGATTCAACATTAGTTTTTCAAAACTACATCTTGGAGTATTCCAAACTGAACTTTCCATGATGATGCTTATCAAGTGTGCTATATTATGGAATAGAAAAGTTCATGAAATAAAAAATTATATCACTTTCTTCCTAATACAAATCTTAATTTCAATCCTTTCATAATCCCTTCTTCAGACTACTTTTAAAAAAATTTTTTGCACTAATATTAATAATTTGTTCTTCAAATAAAAACGTCTGACAATTTCATATTTATAATAAACAAAGACCTACTTACTCGTGCCTCTAACTGGTGTGTAGAAATACAAAAATAAATAATTTTGTAAAAACAAACGTTTTCCGAACACCTTCCGTGTCCTCCTCCAGGTAAAACGGTTGGATTCCTTATTCCCGAACACAGTCACGCAGTTTTTTAAAAGGAGAAATTCAAACGATGTTTCTATTGCGCATGCGTTGTATCTGTCATGTTCCTTTCATTCGGCATTGCATTTACTCTTCTCTTGTGTGTCTGATGTATTATTTTTATTATGTCCTCGTGTAACCTCCTACACCAACCACATTCTTAGTAATCATTATGTAATAAGGCTTGCCAAGCTAACGAAAGAGACATTTCTTCTCGGGAGTTAATGTGCGTAGATGTAGTGTGCGCCTTATATATTTCCATCGCTTCTAGCCATTTGAGGTGTTTCGTGCGTTTTGTTTTGACTACTAACGATGCCCCTGCAAAATCCACATTGATGCCCGGTTCTGACGCATAAATCGCGAGTGACGTGGTGGCTCTCCGTGATTTAGGAGTTGGCATAATCAGTATTGCACACGGACATTCAAACAGCTAGTGGCACACCTGCACACCATCAAACCAGAGTTAAGAAAATGGACAACCAGCCAACAGAAAAACTGGAAAGAAGAAATAGTACTTGCCCGACCAAGGACTGGACACAACACACAACTATCTAATAACAAAGGGTATCCAACCGATATGCTCAACTTGCCACACCCCTTTACCATTCAATATTACTAACATGTCTTCAGTACAAAACAGATAGAGAATGCTACTTTTGACAACATACATCTTTAGACAACCAAGCTCTATGGAATATACTAGACAATAATGGACAAATCCAACCTATAATGGCATATCTGAAGGCAGTAAACTTCTGTACAGAACTCTAGAACATACAACAGAACAATTATGACATATGTTGCCAGATCTTTTAGGTCTTAATAACTGGCTGGCATTCTTGCCTACCTAAGCTTTTGTGCCACAAAAATCCAATTCAACCAACCAACCAGAAACTGTTTAAAGTAAAAGATCAGTGAATTTACACTTATTTTAATTGATTCCTGGATTGAAGATTGTGGTGATGATTCATATGAATGACTGGTGAATGATACAGATATTAATGATAATTTTCAAGTCTTAACTAATGAGATTGTGGCATTTATGAGTGAAACTAGTGACTGCTGAAAATGAAACTGATGAAGACGATGAAAGCAAGAACAACAAAACAGTCTGGTGCACACTAAAACATTTGCTGAATTGCTGCTACTAAAAAAGGATTTGGAGCCTATTAGTGGCTGAATAGATACTATCACTGAACACTGGTAGTTGGTTGTGAGTTTGCACTGTACCAATGGACTGAACATGTGGAAGCTCATTTTCTTCACATGTTTAACATCTAAATAGAGGCTAGTTTTCCATAGAAAGTTATCCTAGGAGACAGATTGCCTATGTTTAGTATTGTTACATTGCTATATCCCACTAAACCAGTGATTACCAAATTTTTTCAATCCACTGCCCCCTTTGTTTCATAAAGTTATACCCAACACCCCCTAACCCATTTTCTCTTGTGTGAGAAAGAGTTAGAAAAGTTTTCCTAAGAATATTTCCATGAATCTAACACTTTGTGCCCTTACCGTACATTGTTCTTAACATCTGGAAACCATTAAACGCAATGTTTCTTCATATCAGTTTAACAGAGAAAAGGGAACAGCTTTCAGTGACCCCAATTTTGCCTTTGGTCACTGTTCAGTACCCTGCCTCCAGCGCTCCCTAGATTTACTCATTGCCCACTTTGAGAAATGCTGCACTAAACCAATCAAACATATCTGGATCTAACAAGAAAGGAATGAAGTTTACCTTTTGTGTAAAGGCAATAAGCAATTATTTATTTTATCCTATTTATATTATTTATTGTAATGAAGATGTTTTTCATTGAGTTTTTAGTAGGTTTTGTTTTACTGTTGTCTTTTCTTGTGTACAACCTGCAATGGTGTATATTTCACAGGAAATTTCTATAATGAAACTAAAACCTTTACATAGCCTACTCCATTCAAGACATTCCTATTTTCAGTACTATATTAGAGGAAACTAGAAAGTACTTACCCAGCAGTATGAGCAATTAGGAACAGTTTTAAATGATGAATTGATAGCACTTAAAGATGGTCAGCTCTTCATTATCAGATTTTGTAATGCTTGAGTATTTTATTGCACCAAAAGATAAGTTCCTTTTATGCAATTTCCTGACAAAATAAAGAAGAAAAGTGAAGATGATTTACCACTGTTGATATCAGCTTTTAAGTTTTCTCTATAAAAATAAAAACTTATGCTTGGTCATGCAATGATTGCTTAAGCAGAAAAAGCAGCCTCTCCAGATGCTTTAAAAATATTTTCAAACTAATTTCCACTGGCCTCTCAGCATCTGCTCTGCTCAAATTTAGGAAGATATTTTGTGAAGCACTTAATGCAATGCTGAAAGTGGGAACATTCCAACTGTATACTCAGTATCTATGGAAACAGCCATAACTTCATAGGCATGACTTCCATGAGTGAAACTTAAAATTGGCATATAACCTGTATCCCCTTTCAAATTACCTTTTTAAACAACTTTTTGGTTGCAAGACTTCTTTTAATCTGTTTTCAATATTTGTCGTTTTTAAGGATGCATGTGTTTGATATGAGTGGTCCCATCTTTTTTTTTTTTTTTTTTTTTTTTTTTGTGAAATTTTTGTAGTTTCAATAAATACACAATTTTTACCATTCTATAAAATAAAATTTTTCTAATAGAATGCTTTACATATTGAAATTAATAATTTTACAAATTAATATTTTAGTCACCATGGGAACTAGAGTTTATATAGGACGTCTCAGTTATGATATCCGAGAAAGAGATTTAGAGAAGTTTTTCAAAGGTTATGGACGAATAAGAGAAATACTTATCAAAAATGGATTTGGTTTTGTGGTATGTATTATTTAAAATAAATTTTTTATTTTTTGAAACTTAAAATTAATAGAATTGTTTTGTGCTTTTAGGAATTTGATGATTATAGAGATGCTGATGATGCAGTTTATGAACTTAATGGAAAAGACTTGTTAGGAGAACGGTATGTTTTAAAAAATTTATTTTATTGTGTGTGATGTATAGGACAAGAAATAGACAAATTAAAATTGTTTAAATGTATTAAAATATTAGTTGGGTAGAAATAAATTTGCATTATGACACACTAAGGACTGCAAATTTACCAACTTTTTTATTATAATTGATAAAAGAATAAATTTTCAAAGATATTACCAGTTTATTTTGAGTCCAAATGTGAAAATTAGCACATTAGTGAATGTTTAGTTGCTGATTTACTATCTAATGGTAATTAAGCAATCATTAGTTTGTCTAATTGAATTCCTTTCATTCTATTCAGAAAAGCAAGTTACATTTCCTGAAAAATAGAGCATACTGTATTTTCTTAGTTGCTGTGATTAAAAAGGTGCCATTGTGAGCACACTCCTTCAGATAAATATGTTCCATTTTTCAACTAAAATGTTGCTTAACTAAAATTGCCATTTTGCACTAGGTATTATGGGTAAAGAAACAAATTACCAAACTGTCCAGCATTGTGCTATAATACAGCATTTTCCAGACTTAGAAGCCGTCCATAAATTACTTAATGTATTTTGGGGTGGGTGGGGTCAAGGATTTCTTACGATTTCTTACTTGGGTAGGGGTAATAGATCTTGTCTTAGGTAATATTCTTATTTTTATTTTTTGATCTCATTGAATGGTGGCGTTTTGAATTTGGCTTCAATTTGGCAGTTTCTATTAAGAACGCTCATTGTCTTGTGACGTCATAGAGTAATAACACTAGCAGATTCACGCACTACACATTTTTTGTCATGGGAAAAAGGCCATGTGGTGGTTTCTCTCTTGTTTTTTATTAGAATAAGTGCATCAATCCTATGGGTGTATAACACTAAGAATACATAAACCAAAATACATGATAAAAAGTAAACATAAAATTAGTATTTGGATTTTAGTGAAAACTAAAATGTAAAACTAGAAATTAGAAATTATAAATAGTCTTTTCTTCCATATTTTTTGAATATAATTGTAAAAAGCATCAAACAGTGGTTTCTGAACAAGCTTATTGAGTGGATATGGCCACCTGAAACCAAGCGTAAAAATTTCTAATTTCAGAATAAGTCTATCTTGATCGTAAATTGGACAATGATAGATCATATGGTCGACGGTGTCTAGGTTTTCTGTAGGGCAAAAGCAAGAAGCAGTTTCTGCCTGGTTATACATTGCCAGGTAGCTTCTAAAATTATCATGCACAGTAAGTAGTTGAGCAGTATTAAATCTCTAAGTAGTGATGAGAAGCTATATTCAACACTAGGAAATTAAAGTGTTGTTGTTCTACCAGTTTTACTGCTCAACTACTTTTACTGATTCCACTTTTGTATAGCGTTGTCTATAATTTTTAAGGCTGCTACGTGAGAGAGGGATGTGAGTGTAGTCCAAGTCAGTGTCTTTTGTAGCTGACTTAGCCTCAAAGTAGGCTTTTTCATTTCCTAGTATGCCAGTATGGCCAGGAACAAATATAGAAGTTATCTTATTTACATGATTTTTAATATGGCGCTGGATATATGCGATTTTATTGCTATTGCAATTGGGATTTAATAGAGTTTTTAGGACAGACTGATTATCACTGTAAATGTTGATAGACAGAGTTTTGTTTGGTAGTGAAGTGGCCCACTGAACAGCTTGGTAGTCATCATCATCCTCAGCTTGATAGATGAAGGTATGTGGGAGATATATTTTTAGCAAAATATGTCAGTTTGGAGGAAGATACAGATACTTGAGCCAACAAGAAGGGAGCTTATGGACCCATCTGTGTAGATATTAATGTCTGCATGATTATCCATGGAGGAAGCAAATGACACCAAATAACCTTGTTTACAGGATGATGATCAGAGATAGTAGGGTAATTGCAGTGTGGTAGCATATGAACAGATGTAGATAGGAGTACAGATCGTTGTTGAGCCTTGACATTTGTAGTTCTGATGTAGTAGTTTAGAACCTTTTCTACAATACATAGTGGCAAAGGAAGGAGCTCTGCTGCTATCAGAGAGGCATTAGTAAAAACAGTTCTGCAGCACTTTGAAATTCTGATGGCAAACTGGCTTTGAAGAGAGAGTAATTTACTTGCTACTGAATTTTTACTAGTTATATGACCACAGCCAGAGGCCGTGTAAAGTAGTATTGGTTGTATTGCCCCATTATATAGAGTTTTATAAGCTTTATTATTTAGTCCCCAGGTGCACCTAGCACATTTCAGCAACATGTAGTTTATTTTCTTGACCTTAGCCAAGATATAATCAATATGGCAACAGAATATGGTTTTTCTCTATTTTCTCTGGTTTTATTTTGTATGACGTTTCTGTTTACACGTGCACTAGCTAGTTGATCTGGCAGTTTTTTTTGTCTTTTGCGAAAATTAAAATTAATATAAAAATAAATATTATGACGTTGATTAATGATAATAATAATAATGTTAATAATTAAAAAATAACGTTCTTAAAGTAAATTGTTCATTTGAATTCATTAAATTTTTATATTTTAAAATTTGTTCACATAAAGTCTTTTACAAATAATAGTACTTACATATTAATTAACTAATTAATAATTATATATTTTTAACCTAAGGTTTTTAGGGTTTCATAAAAAATTGTAAAACAAATTCTTTTGAAGAACTATTATACTTTTTTTTGTTTAATGTATATTGCATTTAATGTAGAATGTATTGTATTTTTAATTTTATGTAGTTCTTGTTTTTTGTATTTGTTAATTTTGGGGACCTATCAATTGTCATTTTGGACTTTTTTATTTACTTGTAAAAATAAATAATGTATCAAACATACATAAATATGTTTGATAATTACAAAATCATTCTCAACTCATTTAACTCATTTCTTAAAAAGTATTATTTAAATTTACAGTGTATTAAATCAATAGAAAACAATGGCAATTTTAATAAAGAAAACAATAAAAAATGTATTTTGTTGTCTAGTTGATAGTGTTCCTGTTGAGGTGCACTGCTGATTCAAATAACTGGTCACTTAAAAAATAGTTATAAAATAAACAAAATGCATTTGATTTATTAGCTTTAAAAATGTTTTAAAAGATGTACCTTATAATTTCAGTTGCAGAATCTTAGTGCTCCATGGAGCTCACTTTGGGAAATGTTGATGTAATATACAGGCACTCAGTGCCAGGAAAAACTCTTTAGCAGTTTGACTAATTAGTTGTGAAAAATGTTAGTTAAATTTAGAAAACCAGAACAATCCTATTTGCTGGTAATCCAATTTACCAGTAATGCAATCCTTATGGTATTTCATATTTATAATTTGAAATAATTTTTGTAAGAATCATTAGCTTTTAACTATTCTAAATCTTCAAACTTATTATCTAATACAAAGCAACCCTTATACTTCCAGACAATGGGACATTGAGTAGAAATGACAGGTCAGCTGGGTTCACTTCGTTATACTTTTTGAGTAGCTTAAAATATTCATATGAGAGTCACTATTGATAATGTACTAAAATAAGCTAACTAGATTGTAATATTCACAAAAATAGATTCATTTAAACAATCGTTTATAATTTTAATAATATATATCTAAGATTAATTTCCTGCAAAATTTTGTTACATATGAAACTGAATTTTTTCATTAGAGTCACTGTGGAACATGCACGTGGTCCACCTCGTGGAAATGATCTTTGGGGTAACAGAAATAGAGGAAGACGAGGTCCTCCACAAAGAAGGCGCACTGGAAGGGATAGGTAAATTTTATAAATCATTTTTCTATTATTTTATGTTGTATTTCCACTTTCAGTAGCACAAATGAGAATTGCTCAATTTTGGTAAATTGATATATAAATTTTTTGTTAAACTCTTGAAATTGTTGTCATATACAAATCATAGTATATGTTAATTATTTACAATTAAATAATTTAGATATTTTTTCTTTTAACATAGTCATTTATTTTTAATTATCATTTTTATTATGTAAAGATACATAACAGACCAAAAATCCTAATTTTTATATTCCCTATTTTATATTAGAAACATTCATAAAGCCTATTACTATGATAGTACCAATTTGTATTGATAGTAGAATGCTATAGTATGCTCTTACTGTCATTTGCATCAGTGATGCATAGTTGATATCAGCTGTTGGAAATGGTGGTGTCCTGTACATTTATTCTGAATTTTTATTTTATTTATCTTTGTTAAATAAGTTCACCGAATACAACTTTTACTTGAAAATATTTACATTGATCTGTAGGAGTTATGGTAAGGGTACATAGTGGTTGGTAAGAGATGTTTATTGTGATAAAGGTTCTGATTTGATGTCTACATGAGTTGACTCCTAGTTTTGAAGAGAAAAGCAAAGCCAGCTTATAAGCCATCATATCTGATAGTTTACTCTCTTAAAAATAAAAATTACATTGATAATTTTGAATTTTTTTTCACACAAACAAGATTTTAGATCTTTATATTGTTGTTGCATTATTTCATATATACACTTCTAATATAGGATGTACCTTAAATATATTATAAGTAAAATTACATAAATGAAAAATATATTTCAGTCGATATGGACCACCTACAAGAACAGATTATCGTCTAATAGTAGAAAACCTTAGTAGCAGAGTGAGCTGGCAAGTAAGTAGTATTACATTATTAAAAAAAGAATAAAGAGGTTTTATTTATATTGATAAGAGAATTTTTATAATTTTTCCAAACAAAGTTAAATTTTTTTAAAACTGCTGATATGAATTAAATGCCCAGATATTTTTGTCATTTAAAATCACTTTTATTAGCTATTAAAACATCTTTTGAAATCAAAATTACTCATCTTATAGGATTTAATCTAAATATAAATTTTTAATTTTTAATATTAAGAAATATGGGGAATTTTGGGAGACTGCAAATGAATCGGAAGAAAAAGTGGGTATGGTTTAATATTATATTAACCCCTTCAGTACTTCATAAATGAGTTTTTAAATATTTTTTATTCAAGTAATGAAGGGTTTAATTGTGAATGAGTGATACATAATTTGGTGGTCGTGTTTTAAAGTTTTTTTTAAATATGTGTATAAAACATTGTAATTCTTGAGTTTGTCATTTGTCTATAACTGTGTCTTGATGACCCATAAATTTAAAAACAGTTCACTTATACGGCTTGTAATTTTATAAAATGAACTGTTATTTAGTCATATTAAATCATGCCCATGTTTATTTAAATATATGGCTGCATAAGATACTTATGCTCTAGAGCATTTCAGCAAAGCTCTATGGGTAAGCCATATTTAGTAGTATTAGCTTTAGAAGAAAAATTCTCTTTCGATCTAAAACAATGTAATGTTTCTTTCATACAAGATCCTAACGTGTAGAACGCACCGTCCATCCGTTGAGGTTTGTGCGTTTCACTGTGGGTCGTTGAGTGGTTGGCTTACCCAGTGACTCCTACATTATGAAAAATCAGGCTTCGAAATGAAAAGTACCAAACACCCATAAGTTTGAGGGCAAGGTCGCGCAAGGTGTTGCAGATACCAAACTGGCAGGTATCAGGTTGAATTATTGCCACCTTTCTTGAGCCTACAGACATGACCGTCCACCATCATGAATTCCGGTGGCTGACAGGAACCTGCCAAACCCCCCTTAAATGTGTCGAGTTCGAGTGGAAGCTGGATATCAGGGCCGCCTTTCCACGTATATAACCAGTAGTTGGTCTGGGTTCCAGTCACCTTGGCTTCCTTTCCATATTTGGCGTATCCCAGTTCTTGTGGTGTCGAACTCTGGTGCCTCTTGCATGGCCCAATTCTATATCATAGCAACAGGTAAATGTTTAAAAAGAGTTTTCTTTTATCAATAAGTATGAAATTCCATTTTAATTATAATGTATGCATGATTGCTATATTATAGTATTTCCTTTTTTTTTTATTTAAAAAAAAATTGCAGGTTATGCTGCACTGGTTCATAAAATATTTGTATATACAGGGTATTTCACAAGAGTTCCCGTATCCTTGCTTTTTCTCTCCTCTCTCAATGCTTCAGATCATTTCATTTCTTTTATGTGAAATATTTGAAATGAAATATATAATACAATGACCAATCTCCAGTTAAGATTTCTAAATTTAAATCTCATTTACTTACAGAATATTTTTTATAGAAAATTGTTTAATGTGAGATTATTTTAAATTTTTATCCCAAAAGAAATCTGTTGTGTACAATATGTATAATCATTTTATATGGTATTGGTTTTTTTTTTGGTCCAATCTTTTGTATGCTAGAAATGCCATTCTTTTGATAAGGATAACATATCTTTATGCAAAATACATAAAATAGTAATGTAAAAAAATTTAGTTTTATGGAATACTCAGCAACATTTTATCTATATAAAGATAATGTCTTCTGAATATTGGTTTTTGTTTTTCATTAAAATATTATTACAATGGCAAGATGTTAAGGTTCATTTGGGTATGTAGAATATTTTCAAATGTATTTTAACAATGTACATTCTTTTTGATAGTCCAGATGTGAGAATTGAAACAGCTAGGAATAATTGTTAATTAAAATACTTCAATAAATGCGAATTTTGAAAATTATAAGGTGGCAGTACACTGAGGGAATAAATTAAGATTATTTAGACTGTATAATTTAATGAAACACTTTTTAAAAATACACTCCATAAACTAATTTTGTATTGATTATTATAGTTTAATGCTAAATCCAAATTTTTTGTATATAAAATTGAAGTATTTTCTTGCAAATGTAAAATTACTTAATTTCCATATAAAATTTATTTTAATGTGATTGTTTTTAAAGTATTATCTTTCTAAAAATTCTTTTTATTATAATATGATATTTATATAGTGTTTAACAAAAGCTCCAATACTATATAGATAGGATGTTTTTTGAGGTAATTAAGTTTTTATCTGTTTCATAATAAAGAACAAATTTGAAATTTTTTAGAAATGATAGAGAAAAAGATTATTTAATTAAACAGATTTAAATTTGGAAATCAAAAGATGGTGTTAATTGGGTTATTTCATCTCAAATAAATGACAAATGAAAAAAACGAAAGCATTAACAGGGAATGAGAGTTCAGGAATTTTGTGAAAAACACTCTGTATTTATAGTCAATAAAGTAATTATTCATATATCTTTGGAAAAATCCACTTTTAATTCACCAAAGACAAATTACAAAGGATATATATATAAAACCTTATTGTCATAACTCATCATGCAAAAAGTAATTCAGACAAAAAGAATCGAAAATATAAAACTATCCACTTAAAAAAAAGGCATTTCTTTTTGTAATGATGAAACATATTATATCAGACTTCAATTAATCATATTTTAATTGAGCTTTAATTTCTTTTATTTCTTCCAACTTAGAAGATACAAAAGTAGCTTTTAGTGCAGAGAAAGAAAATTGTTTGAGTTTTGCAGAATGAAACTTTCAAGCTTTTCTTTCTCTATACTCTGTAATTGAAATTTAGTGACTGCATTTTGTTAGTAATAAACAGAATATCTCTTCACATTCGTTAAATTAATAGGGAAAAATTGGTAATTTTGGATGTGATGTGTATGGAAGTTCTGTTGTAGAAAAAATTTCCAATTGTAATCATACAAGTTACAGTTTAGAATTTCATGATTCTGTCAACAAATTGTATATTTTAAACAATTTTTGTATATCTTATTTGCATGTTTTTGTGAAGTTGTGTAATTTTGTTTTTCTCTCTTTAGATTATTTTGTATCTGTAAATATTTTTATATGATTTAATGAGATGTTACTAGATTTTTCATCTTCACAATCTGATGATTTCATTTCTCTCAGTATTTTTACACTATTTTTGTTTCTGTAGCATACAGTTTTACTGAAATTATACATATTCTTTGTTAGCTATTAAATTCTATTTTTTTCTTCATTAATTCACTCAATAAATACTTAATAGTGCACTGTATATTAATTACATATATGTTTATAAATTCAACTATAAGCAAACAGACACATTCATGAAAGATTTGTTTTGTATGTAGTTCTACCATCATTTGTAGAAATACATATCAAATCAAAAAGTATAATTCCAGTTATTAACACTAAAACATGCATTTATTTGTAGATTAATTCAAATGATGGCTTACATTTGTTTTGCACATAGAATAGTTTCTGTTTAATCAAGTTAGCCACTACTTCAGGACATATTTTAAAATCCAAAAACAAATCAAGAAAGTAATCAGAATTTGTTGTTTGATACTGTGCCATTTAATGATGGCATATTTGTCATCTGTATGTATGTAATTTGTTATCTATATGTATATTTGTATCTGTGTGTCATATCTGGTATGGATCCATTAATGAATAAGTTGTCATTGAGTAATTCAGTAATTAACATATGTATTTTCAAGCAGTATAGTGACTTTGGTTCAAGTGATGACATGCTTATGATTGCTACAGGTGTACGACATTCAGACTTACTCAGTAATGAGCAGATGTAGTCCGTATACTTTAAACTTTTAAAATTTTACAAAATTTCAAACAACTGCCAAGATGCCTGTGATTGATCCTAACACAGAATTGCCTTACTTGCCAGTCCATCTAATATCAGTTGTTGCTGTCTAGTGGAGATAATTGAATTTTCCACATAGTACAGTTGTAAGATAAACTTCAAGTAGAATGGGCATTATATGACAACAGGAAACATTTCAAAAATGGGAACATAATTGAAGAAGCCTTCAATGATACTCAGTTTTAACTGGTTTGTATATATTTGTCAGTGGTCTAATGCTAAAAACATAGATGGCTAAAAAGCTGTGCCACAAAGATTTCAAAACAAGGTTTTAGTTGTCTCAGTAGAAATATAAGCATGACATTTAATTCAAGAAGCTATGTTGAGAAAGGCAATGCTGCTTCAAGTGCTAAACAAGAAAATCCACAGAACTGTTTAACTTAGAAATTTTATGCATATGACATCTACAGTGTCTGCTGATAAAACATTGTTCAATTGTCATGTACAATTTCTTAAGGTACAAACTCACATCATTAGATTTAAGGAATGCAACAGTCATATCAATGTTAAGCTGTTTAAATATATCAAAATGAACAGTTATTTGAAAAATGAACAGTATTTGAAAAATACTTTCTTTTCTAAGACTAAACAGTTTAGCATGGCCATACTGAACCTATGGCTCACCAAGTTTCTATTTGCTGCCCATAACATTACATTAATTAAGTACTTTTTAAAACTACTTGCAATTGGCAAAAGTTTTTAAAACCTTGAGACACTGGCAACTTTCAGCTGGTTGGTATGAACAAACACAATGCTCTCATGACCTGTTTGTTTTAGTTATGAAACTTTATGCATTGTTATTTCATCTCTTGGTTTAGTGTAGTTGACACTTAGTTATAATGTGGTGACTGTTGTAAACCATGTTGTGTGTCAAAAATAATTTGATTACCCACAATGGCAAGAGTCTTCAAAAAATACAGATGAAAAATATCCAAAGAAAATAGCATTTCAAGACAATCAGGAAGAAGCATGTTTTGTTGTCACATGAACGCAGTTAGGCAAGTTGATTGATTTGTTGCAAAAATGTAATATCAAAAAAAGCTAACTGAAAGCTCCAAATGGTAAGAAAAAACTTAGATATTTAAAGACAATTTGAGTTAGAGAACAATAGAGTGAAAAATGCCAATTCTGAGTAGATTTATATTTTTACTTCTCTTGCATTATATAAGGAATCTTTGATAGTTTTTTAAACAACCTGTGTAATGCCTTTCAGCAAAATGTTCAATGTAACTAATGGAATTGAACAGTTCTCAGGTACATCATATTGAGATAAAGTGAGATGTCCTCTCATTTTGGACTGGAATGTTACAAATTGGTATTGGGCATTAGATAAGACTGTCTGAATATTTTATGGATATCCAATAATTAGGATCACTTAGGATAGAATAAATATTAAAATGTGAATTGGGAAAGTTGAAAGTAACCTAAATCAGTGTCAGAGGACTATGAAAACCTTTTACTTGGAGAAAATTTGAGTTAAGGAAATTCAAGTTTGAGACATTGAAATACCTATGCTATTCCATTGAAGACCTATCAAGTGCTTCATTTTCTTAGAGTTAAAGAAATATTTGAGTTAGAAGTTTTATGGCATATAACATTACCATTATGCCATAAAACAAATTATTTACTGACACTTTTTTGGGGGTCTTTAATAAGATGTGAAAAGTTGACTCTCTTTAAGAAGTCATTGCAACAACAACGAAGTGTTATTTCACAGTGCAGTGGTGATGAGCATCTGAAATTTGTTACATAAACATCTGAATTCATTTACTGACACAGAAGTAGTGGTGGAATGTTTCATTGATGCTTTCAGTGTTTGATAATTTTAACAATAAAAATTAAATAATAATGCAAATTTTAAAAAAATGCAGCTTTTTGATTCTGCCTGCATTAGACTTACCGAAGATATTGCAAAACACATTTCTCATCACATCATAGATTTGAAAAATTGTAAATATTTTAGTTGGGTTTTAATTCCAGCGTTGACATTTCAGCAAGATTACAATGTTCCATTTTTGTTAGATGATGTACTGAACAAAATTTAATTCTTGTAGATTTTTTGAAGTCGTTCCTACGAAGATTCAAACCAGAGGCACAGATTGTTTTGAGGATGAGATTTTTTGGAGATGAATAATAACAAAAAATCAGTTGTGTGTGTACACTAATGAATGTTCTTCAATGACCGGATCTGGAGGATTTGTTTTTCTATCGAAAAAGAAATACAGTAAGAAAAGTCAATGTTTACCAAGAAAACTTTGCAGCACATATTTCCATGATCAAAGTATATGCCATGATGAAAACAGTCATAAATTTAGTGAATTATATCAGATCATGAAAACTGAATCACAGAAAATCAAAAATCTGTTTGAAGAAATGAACAGCAATTATAGTGGCATTCATTTACTACTGCTATATGATGGCTCAGCAGAGGAAAGTTCTAGGTCAGATTTTTCTTTACTACAAGAAATTATTTTATTTTTACAACAAATTTTACAATAATTTTGGATGATGTATTGTAGCCTTTCTGTGCAACATCACAAAAAAACTCGGTGATCTCAATTGCAGAGTGAAAATAAAATTATTTTATGAGTGGCAAATAAAGTATTTGCTTTTGAAGAGAAACTAAACATTTATTACAAGGAAATACAAAATCAAATAAATTTAATTTTCCAACTATTGCAAAAAATGGTATGGACACTTCTCCAGAAAACTAGAAAATCATGTTAAATTATTTGGATACCTTATCCAAGGAATGTAAGAGTAGATTTCAAGATTTAAGAAATGTTAAGAATTGTCTGTTGCTTTTAGAAACTGGTTACACAATTGGCTGCATTTGGATATGATTATGCAAAGTGTTTTAATGAATTCATCGAGTTCAAAAAGATACGGATCTGAAAGATAATTTTAAAGAAAAGAGGGAGAAAAAGAATATGCAGTGTGTCTGACAAATAGAAGACTGTACAAAAATATGCTCTCCTGATTCTCACCTTGTTTTAATCTATGTATCTTTGGGAATCATCCTGTTCTAAAATGAAATATGCAAAGAACATATATAGAAATTAGTTTACTGATTCTCAATTTGATGACATATTGAGAGTTGCATGTTAGCAATTATAAACCTGATTTGTATAAAATATTCAAAAGTTTATCCCAATATTAAATATCACACTAATTTTTAAATAAACACTTGGTAACATTTAGATTTTGAGTTTTATTTTTTACATTAGTGCACTATACAACATAATATGTTCCAGCCAGTGTAATGTTGCAAACATACATGGCCCAAGGAAGAAAAAGGTTGAGTATTGCTGGATTAGTACCTCTGTACTATATTAACAGTAATTTCATGGATAATCTCTGAATTTTTTAAGAAATGGTTAATGAGTTTGGGATGTATCAAAGGTTTTTGTTACTTTTTGTCAACTGTATAATACATTGTCATTTAGATTGAAAAAATTATGTGGAATTTGTTTCCCATTCCACATTCTTGCTGCAGTCATTTGACAATCATAAAATTTACATATATCACAAAAATTGGTAAACTACGTCTTTAAAAGAATGCCTGATGCATACACTGTTTTGCAAAAAAAATTGAAGCACCCTGAAAAAAATAAAATTATGATGAAATTTGGCATGGTTCTTTTGAAGCACACACGAATGATTAGATTTTGGTGACCAATGAGAGAAATGTGGGCACAGCATGCTAATCAAATGTAGACCTGATATAATAAAGTAGATGCCAAATGCTGACTGCAGTCATTCAGACGAGTGTTGTTAGAGCTAACCAAGTTTACCACCAGCAATGCCATTATGGTATCCCTGGAGACCCTACACACAATTGTATGACTGAGATAGGCTGTATCATCGGAAAGCAGGATGGTCATACAACAATTGGTTGTTGCCTCAGCTTTACAGACACTGCTGTTGCATAGTCGTTGCAGCAAAGTACACACCAATACAGGGAAGGAAGGTCCAGAACAACCACTGTCAAACAAGACAGACTGATTATGAGACAAACCAGAACTGTTCCAATAGTATTATTATCCACATTACATTGTGCTGTAGAATCTGCTATATCCCCCAGCAACATCATGCACAATCCCAAGATGCCTGTCTGAGGCAGGATTACACTCGTGTTGCACTTCAAGACAACTGCATTAACTACACTACACTGACTGATCCATCTGGAGTGGTGCTTTGCTCACATTTCATAGATGACAGCAGAATGGCATTGAATTGTACTCAGCGATGGATCCTACTTCAGCCTGCATGCAGATGATCATTGCATCCTGTCTAGAGGAGACTGGGCAGTCACTCCCAAGAAGTCTATGTTGTGGAGTGTGACATGTCCATTACTTCTAGTGTTACTGGCTGGGGATGCCATTACTCATGACAGCAGGTCTTCCCTAGTAGTAGTTTAGACAACATTAACAGCCCAGTGATATATTGATGACATCACATGACCAATTACTGTTCATGGTTACTGCCAGCTGCATTTTCCAACAAGATAATACCCAGTCCCATATGGCACACATGTCCCAGGAAAGTCTCCATGCTGTTGAAACCCTTTCTTCAGTGAGGTCTTCAGACCTTTCATCCATTGCCTGCCCATCATGTGTGGACAACACAGAGTACCTATGATCTGGAGCAGCATTTGCAGAACTCCTGGACAAATCTTTGGCATGATGACATCGAGGCTCTGTATGATTCTATGCCATGGTGTATCTTGGCATGTATCACAGCCAGACGATGTTTCATGAGGAACTAAACTGTATACGTTGCTTTGTCACTGTTAGCTATTAAAGTATCCTATAACTCTGAAATTGTGATTATTTCTTCATCTATACTTGTACATTGAACATGATGAATTTTGTTGTAATTGGACACTTCCTTCATGGTGCTTTAATTTTTTTTTCAAATGAGTGTATATTAAATTAAAATGATTTTTAGCAAATACTTTTTCTGGTCTGTGAAATTTTGTTCTAGAATTTAAGTATTTTTGTTGCTCACTTAACTATATTTTTTTTTAACGTAAAATGTTGAATATAAAGTAAAACTTATAAATAGGTAGGCAGCTGCTTAATTGTGCCAAAATGTCCTCATGTACAGTACCTTAATTTACCAAAATTTAGCATAGGTGATTGTGATGTGTTAAAAGTTAACCTAAATATCAATTTAACTATTATTGAATATTTTATAACTGTTTTTTAATTTAATGTTAAGTGGTCCTTATCAAACTCAGTTGTGATATTGTCTAAATTGAATATACCCTCAAAATTAAATTAATTTCATTGCAATAATAACTTAAAATTTTAATCTAAATACAGAGGAATGTGTTACTAGTATAAAATGCCTTTATTTTATACTAGTGGTATATTCCTGGAGAAGGCATAAAATGTTATATATACAAATATGTGTATATAATGTGCAGCATTATTGATTAGTGATGTTTTAGTTTATGTATGAATAATGTATTTTCATCATTACAAATGAAAATACAGATCCAACTTTGTTTGGTTAAAAAAAATTAAGGATTACATTTTGCATGATGACTTCAAGAAAAATTATGGCAATTAGTCTCTCTCTCTCTGTCTTCTGAGAGAGGATTTTCATAAGATGTATGAACAATGTTTTTTGCTGACTGTATATATATATACAACTATATATTGATAAACTTGTGTGTGTTAAATTTTTGTTTTTTATGATTATACATATGTTAATAATGTTCAGTGATAGAAAAGTGAAAAAAAATTGAAACAAAGGTTAGATTTTTTTGTAGATAACAAATATTTGATAATTAGGGTTAATATGTATGTATGTATATGTATGTTATCAAAGATGATAAAATTTCATTTGTCCAAGGATCTGAAAGATTTCATGAGACAAGCTGGTGAAGTGACCTATGCAGATGCTCATAAAGAGTATCGAAATAAAGGGTAAGAAAATTATTTAAATTTTATTGAATCAATAACAAAAGATATATGTATAAATCTTTATTTCAGTGTTGTTGAATTTGCATCACTCTCTGATTTGAAAACAGCCTTAGAAAAGCTTGATAATACAGAATTGAATGGAAGAAGGATTAGACTTAAAGAAGACCGATATGGTGGTGGTGGAAGCAGTAGTAGTAGCAGAAGGAGGTTTGTTTTTCTTTCTTCATGCAGACTAGATTTAATTCTTTTATATCAGTTTATCAAACAAGAGATATATGAAAGAAGCAGAGCTTTCAGCACAGTTTTGGCCAGTATCACCACCACAAATCATTGGCTCTTAGTGTTCACTTATTTTAGATTCCAACAAGCTTTTTGATAACTGGAAATTCCTTACTTTACACAGGTCTTCCACTTGCTGCTAGTCAAATTGTTTTTAAAAATAAAACTATTCATTTGACTAACAAAATTGAGTATTCATTAAATTGCAAAATGACCTCCCAAGGTTGTTCATCAGACTTAAAAAATTTTCTAGTACATATCTATTAGTCATTATAACACAATGCCTACCATCTGCTTTCATTTTCTGTAAACTGGGCATTAACCTTCCATTGGTAAGATGCAATTTGTCTTAATCACTTAAGTGTGTTTATTTTACATATGCAATTGTCATTTTATGTGATCAGTGCTTTGATGATACATACTATAGACCTAGATAATTAGGGTTTCTCAAACGGGATCCCGGTTGTTTTTTTAACCCGGGAAATTTTTCTTATCCCGGGAAATCCCGCAAATTTCTTAAAAATTCACTTTTTTTCTTATTTTGTGTTAAGGTTGAGGAATTTTGCAAATAGAAAGCATAATTAACTCATAAACTGTGAGAATACATTTGTAGTTATCAATTTTAAACCTACTTATTAGTTTCTTAAGTTTTTGCTCATTATAGCATGTCACAAATGGTCAATAATCAATACATAGCTTATTTGTGTCATGACTCTCAAAATTCTTTACTTGTTGGAACCTGTAATATCTGGAATAATTGTGCTTATGCTGTCTTAATTTTTAACCATGCCCAATAGCTTCGATAACGCGTAACACCATGTTCTATGTCTGTAAGTACGAAGTTTTTCTTCATAAACCTGATGATCAAAGACAAACTAACTGACGAATTATTGGGCTATAAGCTTGATATTTCTATTAAAGCAGTCGAAGTAGACAAATGAAAAATACTAGAGTGCAAAAGAAGTATTACAACCTCGAAAACGAACTTGAAATCTTCCAGGCTACAGGTGAAAAAACACATAATATCTGTCTTCTCTTAAATGCATTAAACACTATTCCAATCACATCAATTGAATCGGAAAGGGCATTCTCGGTGGCAAGACTTTTCATTACTAAAATAAGAATTAGAGTGAGTTATCGGAGTATTGACCATCTTTGCTTTTTAAAATCTTATAAAAGTTTGCAATATTTTGTATTATATTTTATTTAAAAAACAAAAATTACCTTCTAAATTAGAAGTTCATTTTTTTTAATTTTTAACTCAACTCAAAACATTTTTTGTTGCTGTTGTATGCAGTTTCCAGCAAACTTTAATTAATTTTTTTCTATTTGTGAAAATTTCTACGTTATTTAAAGGTCATTTTTATTATAGGCCTATAGACCTTACACAGCATTATTAATATGATTTTGGAGGTTACAGAACTTTAAAATTACTTTAAAAAATGGAAAATAATTATATCATTTGATTTCAAGATATTTTGTATACCTTAAAAATAATTAATTCTATCCCGGGATCCCGGGAAACAGTTCACTTTTATCCCGGGATCCCGGGACAAGCAAAAGACCGGGAAATGAGAAACCCTATAGATAATAGCCTGTCTATGGTATTTGTTGTTGATGGTTGCAGGCCTGTGAGCGTTGACAGTTCAAATTGGTAACTGAGCAAAAAATGTTGTCTCGACCAGTGTAATTCAGAAGAATGCAATGATAAGCTTAATATTGTATTGTAAAGGCTAATACATTTAGTCCCTTCTCAAAATTTAGTGTGTGTGTTTTAAAATGACATCATTTTTCCCCCGCGTGCAAGGTGCTACACAAGAACTTTAAATCTGACTTAACACACCTGAGTAAGCCTATAAATAAATAAATTGTAGTTATAGTACAAAAAATTTCCAATTGTAACACTTCTTAAGACTCCTGGGGTGGATCTCCCCTTGGCATATTGCCCATATGTTACATTATTGTGTATGAATAAAACCAAACCAATGAAAGCATGTCCCATACAATTATAACTTCAAAAAATAATTAAAATTTTGTCTATTCAAACATTATTTTCAAAATTCAGTCAAGTTAATCTACATTCAAAAAGAGAATAATTATATGAAGCCCTCAGTGACATACAGTGCTAACCCTCAAATTACATTTATGAAGTAATTGAGTTTGAACTACAGGCAATGTTTGAGCAAAAATATTAATACACACCTATTCATACAATTTCAGGATTTTTTTTTCAAACATTTAAACTCCATTACTTCATAAAGTTGATTCTGATTTTGGTTAGCACTATATATCACCGAGGGCTTCCTATATTAAATTACAATTTTATAATCTGAAAACTGAAACCTTTCAATTCATATTGTTCTGTAAAATCATTTCTCACATCCTTCAGTTATTCTCCACCTTTTTAATAAACTTCTTGCAAAAAGAAGTTTCTTGAGAATTCCTGAAAACATCAAAATTAACTTAGATATCTTTTTCTATAGAACACCTTAATTGATTTTTGCAAACATTAACTGTAGCTGTTTGTAGAATATATTCTAAAAATGAAAAGAATCTATAACATAAAGAACAAAGGGTATAAACAATATTAATAACCTATTAGCATCCTAGCTAGAAGCAAATTTTTTTCTTGTTTAGTAATCCATGTTTTTTAACATTTATCAATCTTCAAAAATTTTAATTTAAGCAAGTAAAATATTTTCACACATTCAAGGAATGATCAGTAATTTTTTTGGTCAGAAAGAAGTAAGTTGGGAATAAACATGAGTATACAAACAGTCAGGCAGTTTTCATTGGGCTCTGATTTTACTAAAGCTCATTAGGATTACATATGTATGGTGACAGGTAAGTGGCACTAAGTCACACCAGGCTCCAAAATGGCAGATTTTGATGAGCAGCATGGGTGATAGTTTGGCGTGAAATTGGGAAAACTGTGTACCTATATCATTTTTTTGTTTTACATGTTCTTTGTACACCTTTATGAACAATTAAACGATTGTTTTACTTACATTTTTAAAAGTACTTCTTTTCAGAAATTCTATCCTTTTTTTTTAGCCCTTTTAAAAAAAAAAAAAAAACTTGCACCTCACCTTCCAAGTTTACTATTACAAGCTGGAACCACAAAAGTTCTAGTGATTATTTTTCTGTTTTTTCATACTCAGAGATATATACCTAGAGGAAATTACTTGTTATTTTATCTATCTGTTTATATCGTGTTAACCAAAGTACCTTACTTCTGATTATATCACCACTTGTGGACAAATTTTTGTTAGGCCAAATTGAGCAATAGTTGGCAATGGAAGATGAGTTGTTATGTAGTTGCACACCATGAGATGGTATCAAACAAAATATAATACTGAACTTATTGATATGCAGTAATTAATTATATTAAATCTACATAAATCTTATAATTTATTATATTTTTCATGTTTTCTTGCTTAGATCAAGATCCAGGTCAAGATCAAGATCTGCATCTGCTTCTAGAAGCCGAAGCAAATCATCATCTCGCAGTCGAAGCCAAAGCAAGTCTAGATCGCGCTCTGTTTCCAGATCACAGTCTAGATCCAGATCTCATTCGAAATCAAAATCTGCATCAAGATCTAGATCCCGATCTCATTCACAATCTCGTTCACGTAGTCAAAGCAAATCGCCGAGACGTTCGAGATCCAAAAGTCCGTCGCCCGATCGTGCAAGATCAAAAACACCCGAACAACCAGCAGAAGAGAGTCCAGAAAGAGAGTAATTCTTTGATGTAACTGTGCTAGTTTCAGATAAAAATTTAGTAGTTTAATTCTTATTTAGAAAAGAAAGTCTGCCAATGTCTCCTATTGATATGTATTCGACCAAATAAACCTGTTCATTTTATTTTATGGAATATTTCGTTGCTACTCGCATAGATGAAACGTTGAACTGAAAACAGAAGTATAATTTTACTTCATTCAGAATTACAATAATTATAGACATACCTCAGTCAGTGTGCATTTTTTTTATGATTTTCACAAAACTTGAAAAACTGGAGGCACTTCATTTTGTAAATAGATTTCAAGTATATAAATGTGTTTACATATTATGTATATATGTGTATATATATTTGTGAGTGAGTTTTTTATAAACAGGCATAAATATACATATACATATATATAATGTATATTACACAGCATATATATTTATATATATATGCGCTATATATGTATACTTATATATATATAGCATGTGAAGTGTGTTTAATATTTCCAAATGTAATAATTTTGACATTAAATAAACTGGTGGAAGGAAGTTCATTTGTAAGTACGTTAATTTGTGAAAAATATTTGGTTTTAATGAATTTCAATTACTAATTTTGCATGTACTTTACCTACAGTATATATAAAACACTTAGCTTAAGATTGTCACGAGATTTTTGAAGCCTTTTTTTTTTTACTTTAACGTTTTCCAAAGTGTTGTCTTACTGATTTTCTAAAATCTCTGTTTTGAAATATCTAAATTCACAAATAAAACCCCGAAAAATAAAAATTTAATGATGTGAAGTACGGTTCTGAATCCAACAATTGACTACTTTAAAATTAGACTACTTGTTTAGAGTTGCAGCCCCAGCAAGCAGATGGATTTGCTCTATCTGATACGGGATTCTTATCGAAACTGCTCCACAAAAGACTTGTGTCGTGAGTATTCAAGTTTGTACGGTTGGTTATCTTACCATTTTTTAAGAATACATCGACTAAGTAATGGCTTCGTCGCCTGGGGTATTAGTAAACAGCTATTCATTATCTAAAATACATTATTCTTTTACTTTCCTGGCGTTATGACGGAAACTATAGCGGTCCGGCAAAAAATATCCCACCCCAATTTTTACATTTTTGGATTCGGGACATCTTGAAACGTCGAGAAAAGCGCAAAAAATTGGAGGGTAATTTTTTTCTATGTATGGATATTAGGGGAGCACGATTTTGTTCGTTCTATTTAAATCTTAACTCCCGTGCTTTTTGTCGAAAATTTCTGAAATTTTGCAGGGAGGTTTGTTTATTAGGGAATTGATGCTATTAATTAATTAATTTGGTGATTAAAGGTTCAGAGAGGGGGGATAGAGGGTCATACAGTACGGTAGGATTTGATTTTACTCAATATTTAGAATTTTTTTTATAAAACTCATCCCTATCCTCAAAGTTACTTTTTTACCATTTTATAAAAATTATTTTATTAAAAAAATTTATTATAACATGGCTCCATCAAAATTTTAAATGTTGCCGGAAAAGTTGAGCAACTCACTGGTTTATTTTTAATCGCAACCAGAGGTGTTGAGAATACTGCTCTAGATCGATCCTGATTGTAGCATTTTTCAAATCTTACATTCAATTTGAGCGCTTATTTTCGATTGTAGCGCGACGTCGCATTGTAATGTAAAGCCATGGTCACACCTTGCGATTTCCCGCGCAGACAACTGCTTAAGGGTGCAGACGAGCGGCCCAGAAATAAACTGCAACAAATTGCAGGCCGTTTGCTGAAGATCCGGCACACTCGATGCAAGCCGCTTATTTTCTATAGCCCATTAGTGAAAAAGACATAGATATTCAAGATGGATGCCGTATTTTAAAATATTTTTATTTCGATAAGTGAAGTTTATGAACTGTTTGAGTTTTCAACAGAACTTAGATTTTTCTACCGCCTTAAAAGATCATGCGTTGTTAATCCCATGCTCGTCGGAAGGAGCCGCAACATACTATGATCGTTGCTGCAAACTAAATGTTTTTCTCGGCGCACCGCATGTGTTCATCTTCACATACAAAAACTAAAGAATTAATCTGTGTGTGAAGGGAGTAGAGTAAGCAATTATAACGAAGGGAGACTGTGTGTAAGCGTCTATTGTCTCTACAATTTACACGCCATATTGCCGGAGGTTGGTTCTTCATATTGTGCTTTAAAAGACGACGAGTTATGTGATTCGCCGGCAATAATAAATTAGACAGCGGTTACACTCATCATAGGTAGATGAACGTTTTATATTCAATTATACTAGCACTATAACGGCTTTTCCTTTTTTCGCTACTTATTACACCAGTCAGAGAGAGGATAATGTCCAAAATGCATACTCCTCAGGGAAATAAAGATATGATTTTCTGAAGATTATCCTCTCTCTGACTGATGGTGTAATAAGTCTAGCGAAAAAGGAAAATCCGTTATAGTCCTAGTATAATTGAACACAAGACTAGACAAGAAGCATATTGCAGAAACGTTTGATATGTTATCTAATCCTTTTGTAAGGAAAACACTACATTTTATAGAATTTTAGGGGAAACAAAATTATATAGTAAAACTGTCCAAACTGGAAAAAGTATTCGGTGTTGTACGATTACAATTTAAACAGATTTTTCTGCATCAGCTTAGAGTCTGAGGGCGAGAGTCCCCACTTAACATATTAATACATGTGGTTATAGTTCTAAATTTAAATACACCAGAAACTTCTCCTATTAAAGTGTTTCAATTTTATAAACACGCAGTTGATTTTGTTTTAAGCAATTTTAATTAAATAGAAAAAAAAACGAATGTATGTAAAGGAATTTCAGCATGACATTCCTTGTGAGATTATGTATTTTAATATTGAAGCCTCCAACTAAGCAGTTATTCGACGGGTGTCATCAGATCCACGTTACAATGCGTACAGGACTACTAATTTTTTTTTAATTGTATAAGGTTACTTCTAGAAATAGTGCTTCCTAGTATTGTGATATGCATACGAAGTGCTCATTTTATTTTGACCACGAATTTGCTTTAATTTCGTTTCATATTACGGTCTTTGACTAAACTAATATTTTTATATGCGCCAATTGCACTCTACAGAACGGTATGTACACCTACGTACCTCCGGAAGCATGGCGGTACAATTTCTTTAGTCACGATCATATGACCACCGTCCTGTGGACATCACCGCCGACGTAGCAACAATGTCGATTGTTGGTAGACGGGAGATGCCCGGATGGTCGAGCGCTTCAAGCGTCAGCCTACCGCTCCAGAGGATCCAGAAATGAATCTGGACAGATCGAGAAACTTCACAAAATTTTCCGGAGTGATCTATCCTATCCCGGATTTGTTGGGCCCGGCCGCTCTATTGTGTTCCTGGCCGGACCCACGATTGGTTTACTAAATAGGTCGTCTTAGGGTACGTTCGTAAAGTCAAAAAGAATATTAAAAAAATCATCTATTTAGATTCTCCGTAAATGTAAGCGTGCAGTCGAGCGCTTATTAATTCGTGGTTACCGCATTTTTCGTATCACGTGTTTTGTGGAAGATACACAGGATAAAATGCATTCAAATTATAGGACGCATCTTAATTTTCACATAAGTTTTAGGAACAAAAATGTTCGTTTTAAATATTTTATGAATTGTTTATTGTGTGAAAGATATGAAGTGTAGAACCAAGAATATGCTAAAAAGACGAAATTACTTTTGAAGATTTTAATGAAAAAGAACAATGTAAAATACTGTATCTTAATTTTGTTTTGGTTTATTATTTGCTTTACAAATAAATATTTTTCAATGTTTTATTAATAAGCATTTTTTTTTCAAATTCTGTATTTTTCTACACACGATAATTTTTAGGGATACAGAGGATAAAGTTTTTTCCAATCTGGCAACACTTATAATCCATAACTCTCCATTTTTTTTTGGGACTTCACACGTGGTAGGTTGGTAGGTAGTTTGTACGGTCCAAAGAATTTCTTTACGTTTTCGTTTTGAAATTTTTTCATATGTAAGTTTAATTTTTACGAATAATTATAATATAATTGTTGTAAATTTTGAAAGTAAAGTTAATATGTTTATTCATTCGGTCGAGTAAAGCACTTGTAGCATTTTGCCAATTAAACGGCATTATACAGTAGTTTTATCATTGTGTGCTACCATGTTATATCTTGATACGAATGTTCCCGTTTTGAATATTTTCTATAAGTAATTTTTCTATTTGAAACTATTATTTGCCAGATTTAAGCGTTTAAAACCTGGGTAATTGTTCATAAGCCATACACCGTTGGCACTTGTGCTGTTTGGTGGGTACGGCTAGAGATGTTTTCTTCCATAAAATTAATCAAATCTAGACTAATTTCACTCGAATATTTCCAAAACACGTATAATTTGTTGGAAATGATCGATATAAAATATGCTATGAATAAAATATTGTCGGAATACTTATCGAGTGTACCCCGTTCAAAGACGCCATTGCTTAAGCTTGTTTTCGTCGCGGAGCGTCACGGCGGACGCGTACGAAGCTTGTCACGTGACATTTGTCGGTGCTATTCGGTCACGTGACTGCTCATCTCTAACGTCTTTCCTGATAACTTGTTCTTTTTTCGAAGAATTCTCTGAACTTTAGAGACATCATTAATAGAAATATTAAAACTTCATTGCATTCTAAATATGGGTTAAAATCAACATGTAATAACGTATGATAATGCGTTAAATAACTAATAATTTTGCTTTACTTTTAAATGGCCTAATCTCTCATGTTGTAAACAAAAATGTATAATATTTATTTACATCAAGACATTAGACGTCTTATGTTGCATCTGATTAATATTTATCATGATAGAATTATTGTCGTTAGCGAGCAGTTTTTCTTTTGTTGCTTCATATAGTCAATAATAATAATAAGTCGTTTCTAATTACAATAAAAATCGTATAGTATATTATGATCTATCACGTGATGTATCAACTAAACAGCACAAGTGCCACACCGTTCTCTCTTTTAATTTCATTTACAATAGAGACATACATGCTAGACATGTCCAAAACAAACAGAATGTATGAGGGGACACTCATTTAAAAAACGCTATAAACAAAAAAATCATAGGACTACTTATTGACCGTTCAAGCTGCCATTGTTTAAGCTTGTTTTCGTCTTGGAACTGCACATTGGACAGCAGACGTGCACAGTCAGTCAGTCTTTTATTGAGGTACGTAAATTGTACATCCTCTGAATTTAACCTGTTATGCCATGCATAACAGGTTAAATTCCATGATACAAAGTTTATGTGAAGATGCTTGTTTACATAGTAGAGTTTATAATTGGAAATGAACAATATAAGAAATGAAATAACATATTTACATTTGTACAAGTTGCCGATAGCAACTGGTTGCCAGAAAAGAATTGCGTTTAATTTACAATGATTCGGTTGAGGCGCCCAATGCTTATATTAATGAAAATCAGGTACTACATATAAAATTAGCAAAAGGTGAAATCCTGTAACAAAAGGACAGCAACTTGCTGCCTATACATTATGTCACCG